GTTTGCACTAACTTATCCCGAAAATGCTGAAAAAATGGAAGAAAAAATAATTTGTTTTACTCCCACTTTGCTATACAAAAACGTACTAGTAGTGCATTGATTGTGATTATAAGATCAGCTTCTTGAGTCTTGCTTCCAACTCTCAAATCATTGTGCCTTTCAGTGTACAAATGCTCTTACTTGCGCTGTTAATCTATTTCGTCTGCACAGCAGCACGACGGCCAATGATGCCACCAGTGACTCTAGCCATTTTCCCACCTGAGCGTCTGTTACTCTTATATTTTCGATTGCTGCTCCGCATAATTTTATAAATTCAGACCTGACCAAATTGTCCGCATATGGAGTTGGAGGAGCTCTGCAAAGACACTCAATCAAAAGTTTAATGCGCGGAATGCCACCTTTACAAGTAATGCCGCCAGGAAAAGTACCATCTGGAGTGCCGCTTGAAGAGATCAAAGAAGGAGAGGCACTAGAAGAATTGAAAGAAGAAGGAAGGCCACTAGGAAAAATTGAGAAAAGAGGAACTACCAGAAGAAATAAAAGAAGAAAAAGAGACATTAGGGAGGAAGCCGTTCAGAGAAAAGAAAGAACACAAAGAGAAGAACAACCAGGGGGAGGACAACCAGGAGAAATGCCAGTGGAAGGCGAACCACCAGGAAGGGAGCGACCAGCAGAAGAAATGCCAGGGGGAGGACCACAAGGGGAAATGCCAGTGGATGGAGAACCACCAGGGAGAAGTCCACAAGAAGAAGAGCCACCAGGAGGAGAGCTACCAGGAGAGACATTGCAAGAACCACCAGGAGGAGAACAACCAGGAGGAGGACTACCTGGAGGGGAGCTACTGGGATCATTGCTAAATTTGGGAGGAGGGCTATTACAAGGACTGCTAAATGGGGGAGGGATACCAGGAGGAATGCCGCCACCTGGAGGAGGGCCTTTAGGAGAGCCACCAGGAGGAGGGCCGACAGGGGGAGGGCCAACAATGGGAGAACAACTAGGAGGAATGCCATCGGGAGGAAGCGCATGTGGTTGTGGTGGGTCACACGG